GCAAAAGTACATTCATGTAATGCAAGGGGTAAAATTGCAACATGGACAAAAAAAAACCCCTGTCATTTTCCAATTTGCACTAATTTAAAACATTAATCAGAAAATATAAAGGATATGCTGTGAGGTGTAAAATGTTGCCCTTTAGCTGGGGAAAAGGTGGGTGGCAGGGGCAGAGTTGCCCCCAAAGCATTATTTTGAGGCTCTTATTATTTATATAGAATCTCTCTCTGCCTCTCAGTCTCAACCACACACACAGTCCATCATTTCACTGTAGGAAGAGACTGCGTTAACAGGCCTTGTGGAAGCTGTGAGTTTTATGGAGGGATTTGAATGACAGCATGAAGCCCAATTTGGGGGATAGGGTTTCAGGAAGTACGTTCCAGGTATAAACGGGCCATGCAGCACAGACAGTGCAGAAACAAGCATGAAAGGCACAAAGGGAAATGAAAGAGTTGATGGGAAGCAGAGAGAGACAAAAGCAGAGAAGTAGGCAGTAGGGAGGTAAAGCAGGGCTTTGAAGGCCTGGGCAAGGAGCTTGTTTTTAATGCAATAGACACTGCCTGTCCTTTTAATTGGAAAAGGTAAAAATAATAAAATAGGAAACCATCCCCATCATCCTGCTTTTGGTTTGCTTATTCAGACTGAAAGTTCAAGCCTTCCAAGGTTCACCATTCAGCAAACTCTGTTGTATCTGCCCAAAGCATGTAAATACAACCACACGCTGAGATTGCTCATTTTTAAACTTTGGGCTATACGGTACTATCCTGTTGATCAAATGTGGCAATTATTGCAGGTTTAAAACCTTCTGGGGATAACAATAGATGCTGCCACTCAATGCTGAAAAAGAGAACATGAATTCAAAGAGCAAGTCCAATGACAAATAACAGCGACATGTGTAACTAGAATATATTATGGATTACCATCTTCTAACACAAAGGCTAGAAAAGTCTTCAAAAATGCAGCAAATTAGGGAGCTAAAAAAAGGGACAGAAATGTGGGACTGTCTTGCATTGTTTAATTTCTCTCTTTCCAGCATCGTTAAGATGACTCACAAGGTTCAGTAACGGCTTCTGAAGATGAACATGTTAATAACTTTATACTGCAGTTTGACGATAAAATGTAATCTTTTAAAATTCAATAGTCTCACATGAAAAGCAAGTTTGGAGCCAGAATAAAGTTATAAGGGTCATTTTGAATTGCCATCTCAAGTTATGATATTTTATTTTTAATTCTATATTTATACATTTAAAGATACAATTTAACTTTATACTTCAGTAAACTATGGAATATATATCCTCCCAGTTTATGATGTAATTTAACATGAGATCTGAATAATTAGAAAGCATAGCTCATGCCAGGAATACCTGAATTGTAGGCCTGGCTCTGATAATGCTTCCTCTGATCCTGGTTTTAACCCTTTCATTGTGGTGTTAGGCTCTGTTCCATTCTATTCTTATACTGTGATCATCACCACGGCATCTAAGTGCCCATTAACTGTTATTACAATTGTGAGTACTCAACACCTCTCAAAAAAAAATAATCAACCCTTGGTATCACAAGATGGGCATTCATAAATGCTTTTTTTCTGAGCTACTCTTCATAAGGTTTTTCATGAATAGATCAGCCCTATTTATATACATGACTAATAGAGATGTTATTGTAAGTTCTACTATTGTCTTTTGAGTGAATATATCTTCTTTAAGAATTAGTATAAAAGTCCCTGTCTTTGTTACTTTAATCCTTTGCATTTTGGAGTTCAGCAGCCTTATCAGTAACCTCCTTCCTATTGTATCACATGAGCTTACATCCACAAACTGCAAAGCATTAAAGATCCTTATGTGTACACTAGAACAATACTGCTAGAGTTAGTTGCCCCAGGTGTTAAAAAATCATAAGGCAGACCCCAAAAAGTCATGAGATTAGCTCGAAAATTACAATAATGTTAAAACAATAAATTGTGGGTTCTTTTTATTTGCCTTCTGGTGTTTGAGCCTTTAGGGTTTCTGTTTTCAAGCCTTTCTCCCTAATCATGAGAGTAGACAAGTACTTTTTTTTTAAATAAAAAGCTGAGATACTCCCTTAATCACACGACTCCAGCAGATGGGGCTTTAAGAAAAACACCAAATAATGCATGATGTGTGATAAAAATAATGAGAGTTGGCAACACTGTAAATTGTAATTTGTCTCCTCCATTATGATTTCTTGCTTTTAGGGGTTCAAAAGGAGATATCTGGTTTTGATGCTGTTTCACTTCTGAATTACATGGCATGTAATGTAGTTTCCTTCTCCGTGGACTATGCCTTGATATGGTGGGACAGCTTGCATGGTCCCATGACCCTGAGAGCTATGCTAGTGGTAATATAACTGGTAAGGCCACCCAGGCCAGGTTGAAGACTAGAAACCAGACCAAAGGCAGTCCACCAATCTGCCTGGTAGGGCCTGGCTGGGAGTGGGCTAACAACTGCTCCCATAAAAAACCAAAGCTGTTATGGAAACCTACACTACTGCTCAGCTCAACAAACTGAGCCTAATTCAACTCAACTCAGTTAGACCTAGAAGAAAGATGATGATGCAAAGTGACCAAACCTGAAAGGAAGCTACTCCTCTGACGAATCTGCTCCATCCTAAATCCGTACCAAAATCGGTATGTGGAACATGCAGACACTATATAAGTCTGGTAAAACAGCCCAAGTAACAAAAGAAATGGACAAATATAAACTAGATATAGTAGGCCTAAGTGAAGTGAGATGGGTAACATCATGACAAATAACTGTCACCTGGACACATTCTACTATATTCTGGGCTACTGAATGCCAATGTCCTGAACCGGGATGTGGGTGGTCAGGCCTAGCAGTCAGAGCAGAAGTGGTCAGGCCTAGCACAGACATGGTCAGAGCTGGAGTTCCAAGCCAAAAACCAGGAGTCAGGGACCAAGCAAGGCTGGAGCAGACTGGAAGGACAGTAGCAAGGTTGGGAACAAGCCAGGATCAGGGCTGGAGTAAGGTTAGGAACAGGCGAGACAAGGAGAGGTTGCAGCTGTGGGTGTGTGTATTGAGAAGCCACAGATCAGTTGTTGCTGTTAGGCTTAAGAGCAGGCTTGCTGACTTTCTCAACCAATGAGGCGGAGTAGTCAATCAGGCAGTCCTGGTGTGGTTCAGCTGTGCTCATAGGCTCCCGAGAGACTGGGCAGGTACAGCGGCAAGTCCTCATTCCTGGCAGCGGGTAATGTACATAGAGATGGCATAATATGATACTGTAAAGGAGGGGAGCTAAAAGCCTGACAGGATTATAACAGCACAATTTACATCAAAGTTTCAGAAAGTAGCATTCAGTGCTACTCTCTAACGAATCAAGTTAGCCAACGGGAACAAGAAAACTTCTGTGAACAGAAGTAGCCAAGGTCCTGAAAAGGGATGTCCTCCTGGTGATTGGAGACATGAACACTAAAGGGGGGGAGCAACAATACGGGCAGGGAAGTAATTATGGGGAAACAAGGCCTTTGTTAAATGAACAAAAATGGGGAAATATTTGCTGATTTTTGTGGAATGAATGATCTGATCATTGGAGGAACTATTTCCCCTCACTATACTAGTCACAAGATAACTGGCAGGTAGCCAGACCACAGAACAGGGAACAAAATTGATCACATTGCAATTCAGCGCAAATGGATAAGAACTTTAGAGGTTGTACGTAACAAGAATGGAGCAGAGACAGTAACACATCATCAACCTGATGACCCATGGAGAAAAGTAAGCTAATACAAATTATCTCCAGACCTATGCACAATTAGTAGGGCTGAAAATCAACACAGAGAAAATGAAAACCATGAGAATCAACACCCAACAAGAAACACCAATAACACTTTATGAGATTGGCATAGAAGAGGTCCGACACTTCACAATTCTTGACAGCGCCATGAGCAAAAAAGATGGAACCGACAGAAAACCAGACATGCCTCTGCAACCCCAATGCCAATCTAGGGAAACAGAATCTTTGCCCTCCTAACTAAGCTTTGACTATTTAACACCATTGTAAAGTCTATCTTAGTGAATGGTACTGAAATCTGGAGACTTATCAAGACCTTATTATCTAAACTTCAAGTTTCTCTAAACAGCTGCCTTAGACAAATCCTCAACATTAGATGGCCAGAAAAAAAATGACAAATGAAGAGCTTTGGGGGAGGAAGAAACAGAAATTGATAGGACAGGAAATTATGAAACAAAAATAAAAATGGCTAGAACATACATGAAGGAAAGAATCAAACAACGTAAGACAAGCACTGGTCAGGAATTCCCAGGGCACGATGGGGTGAGATAGACCAAGGAAAACTTGGAAATGCACAATAAAAGCAGAAATGAAAGATATTAAAATGACATGGGAAGAAGCTTCATTTGAATTTTAAACATGCTTGAATATGTGTCAACACTAAATCATTACAACAATGATTGCAAATTCTAGTGTAGACAGGACATAAACATTTGTTCCTAGTTATCACTTTAAAAAAAACAACTCTGCTTTTGTCTACCCTAAGTAGTATTTAACATGTTAAAGCACGTTTGTTAATATTATTTTTAACACAACTCATTTCTCCCAGCATAAAGCCTCTTAGACAACTAACTGCCTATTTTCTCTGCTACTTGTTACCATTTGCACCTACAATTATTTGAATATGAAAAAACTATCCCTGAAAAATTTAAGGCCATAGCTGAATCCCCCTTTACATATACTACTTTTTTTTTAAATCAAGCATCCATTAGCTATACCAAACATTGACTACATTGAGTGGTGTTACTTATGCCACAGCTTAATTTGGTGTTAGAAGTGGGGAGAGGATGACTTATTTCTGTCCAGATCTCAAATCCACAGAATAAGAGGGAACCCTGCAGTCTTAAGTAATGGGAATTTACATATTAACCTATTTTAAATGTTTAAAAACTGAAAATACATATATTAAATAATCAAATGTCTATTGAAAAACCTGACAAATTTCAATTTCTTACCTGCTTTTTTTATTTCAGGGACAGTCTTCTCAGGGGATTTCTTTTTTTCCTCTTCTTTTTCTAACATTTAATTAGAGAAAGTCATTTGATATGCTAGAACTATGAATCACACATTCAAATATGCAGTCACCCAAGCCCTGGTGGGCACATGCTGAAAAAATGTGACTTATTTTTGAGTTTAGATCAGATGATTCCCATCTAGACATTGCACACACCTAGTTACAAAGCAATCAGATAAAAAATGAAAATTAATCGGTAAGCATCAACTTTGGATATTCTGGACCCTTAATAATTCATGAAAGGCCAGGCGAGACTCATCAGTGCAGGAATGTCGTACCTTTTAATTTAAGTTACCAGTGGTAGCTGCAAATCTTATTCATTACTATCAAAACAACATGGTACTGATGTCATTGGAACTGGCATGCAGAGTACAAAGCTACGTGTCCCACCATTTTCACATATGGCAATATAGCCATGTCCTGTTATATCAGGGAGAACCATTAAAATTGCCATGGACAGCCTCACAACCGGGGGGCTAAACCACCATGTTTGCCATTGGTTCTCTGGCTTGTCAACCAGGAAAAGCTTTAAAATATTGATACAAACTGAAAAAGTAGTAAAACATGGGATGGTGATGTTAAGGTATGGGAAAATCATCCATTAGGAGAGCATTGTGGTACTGCAAGTTTAGAGTTTGATCTGCCGCAATTGAAGTTAATGGGAATTTAGCCGTTGATTTCAATGGGATCAGCCTCTCAACAAACTTTCCAATTCCATACCTTTCTTTTTAGTTTCAGAAACAGCTCTCTTCTCTTGGGTTATCCTCTTTTCCTCTTCTGTTCCTAAGAAAAGATTTAAAAGAAATTCAGTTGCTTTTTTTTATATCTTACTAAAGAACGATGATCCACATTTTATAAAACAATAAGGTAAAAGACCCGAACAAGGCCCGATACTTAAACAGAGAGTAAGGCAAAAGACAGCATAGCTGTGGGAGGACTTATCTACCCAGATGTGTCTTATCTCTATGGCCTCCACGTTGGTAAACCATGACGACTTGTGACAGATGACTACACTTGTATTGGGCCAAACTGTGCCATTGGGTAGATCAACCTGTTTCAGATGGTACACATTCCCTCTGTGCTGTGTTTTATTAAATCTGCCTGGTTTTGGCCAACTGAAGTATGCTTTGGAAGATTTGCCATCACAATGCGGAAAACGTACATCTGGAGATCAGTCCATGCAATGGAGAAGACATGCAAATCTAGACCAATTAGTCGCTTATTAAAAACGCTACTGTCATCCCCTCAAATATATAAACATACTCTATATTCCAGTGAGTCCACACAAAGCTGAGGATAGAATTGGAGCCAGTGTGTGCACCAGTAATTATTTAAGAAATAGGCACTTATTCAATCAATTATACCCATTGACCTACTATAAATACAATTTTTGAAGCGATACAGTAACCCTGCATTTGTTCTGACTTAGTGCTTCCCTTATAAAACCTGACTGACAATAGAAAAGCTTGCAAGAGATACTCAGCAATAAGTGCAGAATCCCATCAAAAGCCTATATAAATAATATACCCTCATAACATTTTTATGAATAGGACCTTTAAAACTGTCATTACAAGATATCTGCTATTCATGGTGAATTGCAGTTAAACCATTGTCTACTAAAGAACATGATAATCTTTTAAATTCATTTCTCTCTGTTTTATGGATTCACTGGGCAACAGTGGAAATTAGCTTTTTGCTCTATGAAGGCCACAACAATTTAATTACTTATTGCATGCGTGTTATTAATCGGTAGAATAGAATTAGGTATGAGACATCAGGAAACTCATTTCCTATCGTCTTTCTCTCTCTTTGTTAGGGAATGAATTCCCACTAAATGCTAGTAAATTACAGCAAACATATGCCCTTTGTACTGCCCACCCCATAGCCATCCAGGTTTGCCTCTCCAAGTTGTGTATTATGGGTATCAGCTGAGTTAGCAGAGCTATAGTTTTTTATTTTGTGATGCTTTGCTATTATGAATATGTACAAGAAGCCAGCCTATATTGTTATATAGAATAGCACATGCAAAATATCATGAGTCCATAAAGTCAGAGCTCTTTCTTTCCTTGAAAATTGTTCCGGGGTAGAAGAAGCTTTTCTGAAGCTAGCAGATCCAAGAAACAAATATGCTATTAGCCCTTGCATAAATTAACATCAAGAGAAAGAAAAAAATTAAGTTACTTACTTTTCACTTCCTTAGCTATCGCAAGAGGCTTTTCTTCTGCATGAAAATATATAAAAAAGAACATTCTTAAAACAGGGAATGCAAAAAAGTCCATTACAAATACTGCACTGCATACTTTCAGAAATTAAAGAAGCAAAGAAAAATATGTGTGACTGATACAAAAATAGACATTTTCTTAGAAGTTATAAACCCCTTGGTCTTTGTCAACTGGTTTCACAAATAAGAGAACATTGCATAAAATAGGGGGACTTGTTTATCAACATGAAGGAATCTTACTGAACCAAATTGGTTCTGACTTTCTAGCAGACATGATAAATCCCTGGTTAAATGTTGAGCACTTTCTCAAGATTTAATCCATTTTAAATATATTTGGTCATTTTCACCCTTTTTTATTGACTTGGGAAAACCAAAGATGAGTCCCTTGTGATTCTTCTACAAACTGTTTCACCCAGCTGCTTGTGTGTGTCTCATGTTCCCCCATTTAGTCCCCAGTTAATCATGATCAAATTTAAACTGACCATTGGTTAGAAATGAAGTAATGATTTGCTTATATGTACGCATATGGTTAACCAGGGCACTGATCAAGCAATGCAAAGTTCAAAAATTTTGTGCAATAAGCAATATGGGCATTATTAGAGGTAAAGAAAATATGCATAACAACATCAAAAATGTGAGCATATGACTTTTGATGTTGAGCCACGTTCTCATCTATTCCCAGCTTCCACTGATCCTGGGACTGGTTCTCTACTAGTCCCTTTCCCTATGCTCTAAAACAGGGGCAAGTGGGAACCTTGGCTAGGGAAACTCAGTTGCTTTCTGTCTAATTTCAGCCACCAGAATGATCCAATGGGGATCAGGCTGCTTCTCAGGATCTGACCCATTATCGAAACCACTGATGTTCAATTTGGAAGAACTAGAAAGTGACTTAGCACTACATGAAGTGAGAAAATACTAAAAAAAAAAAATAATGTTCAGCCATTGTGTTAATGTTTCCTTTGTGAGATGACAGTGTGGCTGCAACTCAGGTTCACCACATATCAATGCATCAGACAGCACAAAATCCCCTGTCATTGGTGCTCTGTTCACTGTTCCTGAGGGCAGAAAGAGTAAGCGGAGCACCAATCAGATCTGCCATGTTCAGAGATTCCTGTAGTGCTCTGAAAAGGCAACCTGTGCCTTGACAGACAGGAAACACAATCTAGCTCTAACTGCAGATCCCAATTCTAGAATTCTTACCAAATCAAACCGAAATGCAAATGTGTTCCTGTGACAGGGTGCAGGGTACCTGCTGCACAATGAAAAAGGAGTTAACTCCAGCTCAGCTTTCCTTTCCCCTTGCACAGGTGCTCAGAGGAAGGGCCCTTAGAATGTCTGCATTAAAAAGGGAGGGAAATGCCTTTGGGAAGTCCGATTTCACAAGGGGGGCCTGTAGGACTGGGAGAAATCCCATACTGAACACAACTGTTTTCTTTCAAAGTCATTCAATAAATGTATTCTACTATAATAAATTGCCACTGCCACCCTTCTCCAGTGTACCACATGCTGAGGGATGTCATTCATTGTAGCCCCAAAATTATCTAGGGTTTTACACACATTCGATGTCCCTTACTATTATTGTTACAAATTATAAGGAATCATTAAACTGAGGTTATAGAAAGAGTTATTTACAGTAAAAGAAGGAATCCCACCTAATTTTAAGTGTCCTGCATGAATACATTTTCTGTATCCTTCATACTGGGTCTTTTTTGTGCACCACGTTCCACATTTGGACCATGACAAGTTAAGAGGTACGTCTAATGCCAACAGAAAACTTGCTACATCTGAAGCACAGAATGTGGTGAGCTTCTTCCAAGCATAAACATAACTAAATGGAACATGAAGAGCTAAATGCCAAGCGAGGGTATATGAATCAACAGGTAGTTTTTGGTACATGGGCCAGAAAATAGAGATATAGGGAATTGTGAGAATGGCAATGGAGGACTATCTAAACTTGAGCCCAGGTACCTGCATCTTTACTACCTCCACACTGTGAAGTGGGGGGTAAGGGATGGGTCACAGCACAGCTCAGTGTGCACTCTGACCCATTCCTCCAGCATGCCAGCTTGGGTTCGCTGTGTGTCTAAGGGCTTTGAGTGTGGATAATAAGGGATGCTGGGCAAAAACACATGGTAAGACATGTGGAAAGTCTTCCATGTAGACATACTCTAACACAGCAGGCAGAGGAAATAAATGAAACTAGCCAACCCTGTTCAGGCTGCATGCAGGGTTTGAACTCATGGCCTTTAGCACTAAAATAATGAATCCCTTCTGTTAATCTAAAGGATTAATTCCTATAACTAGAAGCTATAGCAGATTTATAAACCTCTGTGGACCAACCACTTATATGGGGATATGTAATACACACTGAACAGCGAGTTACACAACCAAATTCAAAAGGATTTTGATCATTCAGAAGCTTACTCTAGCTGCCCTCAAATATAATTCAATACAGACAAATAAAACTAATTAGTTGGAAAATCAGGAGTCCACCTAGGGAATTTATGCTATAAGAAACAATCATCCAGGAGATTGATCAAGAAAAATGACTTATGTATTATCATTTTCTAAACAGTAGTTCAGCACTACTCTACTGAAGACAGACAATAGATTTTCTCAGAGAGATGAAGTTCAGAATTTATTTTATAGAGTATTTTTTAGACCCCATCAGGAATGTCATCTGCAGCACTAGTCACCATACCACTAAATGGGAAACACGGGCAAAACTATTACACATGAAGGATAAACAACATGCGGAATAGGTTACTGGAAAATTGCTTGACAAAAATTGCTTGACGCAAAGAAAAATTCAGTACTAGTTTCGATTTATTTCTGAAGGAGGAAGGGGATTGAAAGATTTGCTGAAAAAGCAAGAAGGTGGATTTAATACAAACAAAACAAGATATAATAGTTTGAATTTCCTTCATCTGCTTCTACAGCTTCTCTTGTTCTCTACCTGTGATGTCAAGTACCTCTTGAAAGGCAGGGGGAGGAGAGGTTACAGTATTATTAACATGCAAAAAATGTACCACTTCAAACTAGGTTTGGGTGTAACAACAGCCTGTTGCTGTGCCAATGCTAGGGAGATCTAAATTTAGGAATGCACTTGAGTTACAAGGCATGGTGTTACACAAGTGATACAGCCTGTCTGGAGGAGGAAGACATTGTGAGAGTCTCTTATCCACACAGACCTTCCCAGATGCTGCAAACAGTCACATTAGTGCTGACTCTGAAAGAACTTGTCTGCTCATCCATCACCTCTAAGAAGAGGAGGTAAGGAAAGTGCCAAAATACTGCCATCAATATTGTGTGTTGTGGAGAGGAATACGTAGAAGTAAAAATAACTAGTGGGGGTGAATGTCAAAAGGTTTGGAAATGGTTTGGTTCAGATAATGTGCCTAAAGTTCGGATGATTATACAAAGCTTATCTGCACTTATCAAAACCCCTGCTGTCTGGAAATCCCAGGAAAAGAGCTTTCATGGGAGACTTGATATTGTCTGGTTTTGTGAAATATTACAGCAGCCTTTCTTACCTAATGATTCTGGTCTTGGCAGAGACAAGGAAGTACACAGAGATGTACAGAAAAAAAAAAAAGAAAGAAAGCCAACCTGACTAAAACAAAAGTTAATTTAGTTTATTAGAACCTCAGAGAAAATTTCATTCAGGTTCAGCATAAGTTTTGGGTAAAAGTCTGTACTTAATTTTATGCAAACCAACTTGCACCCCTTAAACTCACATAATTTATATTTTTCAAGAGACATGATAAACCAAAAATTATATTTAAAAATAAAGCTAATTTCCTTATCTGTTAAGAACTCTTTTCTTTAAACCAGAGTGAAATCCTGGCCCTCGTAAAGTCAATCAGAATTTTGCAATTGACTTTAGTGGGGGCCAAGATTTCACTCTAAATGTTAAGACTAATTATATTTTTGCTCTTTATGCTGTTCCATTCCTTTTTTGCATTTCTCTTAGCATGGAGAATAAAATTAGACTGGTCAGTTGAACTTTGGGTTCTAGTCATTTTCATATGCATTAGCAAAATGCTGCAGTGTTGGGTTGAAACACTGAAGGGGAATTAAAAGAATCTTCACGGTAACATTGCTATTGATATTAAGTTTCATGGACACTTAGAGGTTTTTTAAATGAAATCTAAATTTGGGGTCAAATTTGACTTGAAAAGCCCCTTTAAAAAGCCATTTCTTAAATGAGTTTGTCTTTTTCGATCCAATTATTTTTTTCTGAGGGAACTAACACTGTCTGTGTTGATCAAGTTACTGAAAAGTCCATAAAGGTCATGAAAATCCAAATCAAATTGATCTGATGTTTGCAGAACTGCTACTTTTCACATGTAAGCCTTTTTGTTTGGCTTACCTGGGCATGTCTGGGGCAAAATTAAGTACAGTAACCACTGCAAATCTTTTTTACACTGTACTTTTTCATTTCAGTCGACCAGTACAATATAATGTTTTCTTAGACTAAGCAAGTGAAGGAATAATGAGGCACAGAGGTCACTGGCGACACAGTAAAACTTGAGCTCCTGGTGAATCTGTACTGCCTGATTTTGTCTTTGAAGCTATTTTACTGTGTTCAAACCTGAATCTCAAATATTATTTGGAAGCTTTGAAGATTGCTACATGTAGACATTTGCTAGAGCTGTGGAAAGTATGCAAGTAGCACTATCACATCTGAAATTCCTGGTGCTTTCATGTGACCCACACAAGAGTTCATGATTTCCCCGTGGGGTGATTACAGACTTTCCATTTCATGGCTGTGTTGAATTAAGCACAAAAACTGTTTGTTAATAACATGGGGCCATATGCTCCCCTCACTAAACAACACAGAGGGGAGCAAAAGAACACAAATACCAGTTTAATGAAGCCAGGAAGTACACGCAGGGGAAAAAGATAGGTGGCATGCTAGCCTCTGCTATGTAGCCAAGAACAGCCCCTTTTCTTGGACAATGGGAAATCAGGGTGTGTGGCTAGTGGGGAAAAGAGCC